TCGAGCACGCAAAATGCAACAACGCATTCTACTTAACCACCTACGTGTAAGCGGTCCTACATCTTCGCAACAAACTTCGCGAAACAGTCCGCCTAAGGCCGAGCGCGTTGTAAGATTCCCGCAGGTGCTGTCGTAAGAGCGGCCTTTGCGACACAAGACTGCACTCATCTGCATGACGACGCTCACCTGTTCGGACTGCGCAGGCTTAGCGGCGTCTGCGGCCGCTTGTTGTCAAAGTCCACGCTGCTCCTTCGCCCCAGGTGCTGGAACAGCTTCTCGTCCCTGAGGACGGCGCACGCTGTTGTCACTGCGCATCAAGTACCATCGTTATGTGTCGTGTGACGCTTGTCAGGTATCGATGTCACCTAGATAGGGGCCTGCCATCCGGACAGCATGCAGAGTAGATATGATGCAGTCGGCAGGCCACCACATACGTCATTTCATCGAACCCTAGCGCTGTCAATTCCCACCGGAGCACACACAAGCCAACGCCTAAAACGGCACGGAGCGGCAGCGACGCGACGCGCGGTTCCCAGTGACGTCACTGACCGGTCGGTGCCGATCGGCGGCAGACGCCCGCCGTCCTGGTTGACGCTGCTCATCATGGAGAGCGTGGATGGCGACTGCGGGCAGGCGGCAGCCGTGTGAGGGACGTCCGGAGGCGGTCACCACAGCCGTATTAGGAACACCCAAAGGCGACAGCCGTGTCAGGGGCGCCCGGAGGCGGCGGTCACCGCAGCTGTGTCAGGGGCATCCGGAGGCGGTCATCACAGCCGTGTCAGGGGCACCCGGAGGCGGTCATCACAGCCGTGTCAGGGGCACCCGGAGGAGGTCACCGCAGCCGTGTCAGGGACGCCCGGAGGCGGTCATCACAGCCGTGTCGGGGGCATCCGGAGGCGGTCACCGCAGCCGTGTCAGGGACGCCCGGAGGCGACAGCTGTGTCAGGGGCATCCGATGGCGGTCACCACAGCCGTGTCAGGGGCATCCGGAGGCGGTCACCACAGCCGTATCAGGAAAACCCAAAGGCGACAGCCGTGTCAGGGGCGCCTGGAGGCGACAGCCGTGTCAGGGACGCCCGGAGGCGACAGCCGTGTCAGGAGCGTCCGGAGGCGACAGCCGTGTCAGGGGCGCCCGGAGGCGACAGCCGTGTCAGGGGCGCCCGGAGGCGACAGCCGTGTCAGGGACGCACGGAGACGACAGCCGTGTCAGGGGCGCCCGGAGGCGGTCATCGCAGTCGCAGAGCGCAGCAAATATACAACGCCGAGTTACATACACAGACAGACAGACGAATAGGCGTCCAGGCACAAGGCTGATAAGCAGCGTGAACACGTCATAGGTCAAGCACTGGTACCCATGCGTTACGATGCCGAGTCACATCCGTGGAAAAGGGATTGTCAAATGTCTACATCTTGGACAGTTTTCCTCTCTGGTGTTTCTAAATCACAATGTTGGCAACACATCTCTTTACGTTCAGTTTCACGTTCATTTATTTACTCAGCTTATTACACTTATTCACACATAAGCTCTGCTCCGGACCACTGCTTCGCATTATATCTGCATCATGGAACTTCAATACCAAGAATTCACACGGGAGGCCTCGACCCTGCATGAACACCTACCAAAACGCTTCCACTCATCGGGCAAAGTCATGCATACTGCTAGAGACGCTGCGTGTATCAGCTCGTTTCTTTGGAGGCCTGCCCTTACGACCTCATCCCTGATGGACCTACGAGCATCATGCTACTTCTGAAGAGCACACCCGTGTGATTCATGCCTTTTCTTCCAAAGTTACTCACACAATTGTCCGTAACTTCGGCGATGTGGTTCGACGCCTCGCTACGCATAACCAGTGCACTGAGGCTGCCCGTACCGCATCCCCGTACCCGAGTACTCACAGCGTACCCGAGTACTCACACTTCCTGGCAACTTTGCCCGTTTGCTAAACGTGGGGTGTAACATCGTGCTGGTGGATCCTTATCGTGTCATGCAGGTGCATGACACGGCCGCTCGTGGTAAAGGTGTGCTGGCAGGAAGGAGTGAGTCATCACGCGTGGAGAGACGAGTCATCAGGCGTGGACAAGTGAGTCATCAGGTGTGGATAGGTAAGTCATCAGGCGTGGAGAGATGAGTCATCAGGCGTTGATAGATGAGTCATCAGGCGTGGAGAGATGAGTCATCAGGCGTGGAGGGTGAGTCATCAGGCGCTACTCGCGTCAGGTGAGTGGGGGTCGAGCACCAGCGAGGGTATCTCTCAGTCCGGCGGCGACTGTCACTCGCTCCGGCACAACCCGGACAACCAACCACCACAGCGCCGGGGCTCGTTCTGATGACCCAAGGCGACCCCGTGACCTCTCTGAGTGACCGCTGGCGACCTACCCGCATGACCTCGTTCAGTCCGTTGAGAAAGCGCTGATCCCTCTGCGCGCTGGGTCCCTGCAGCTCCTGCTGGTAGAGCGAGTACATCTTCTGCAGCTCCGGAGGCATGTCGCCGCCATTCGGGCTCCGGCCCGACTCAATATCTGGCGGCATAGGAGAGAGCATCATCCAATAATGGATCATATTGTCCTGTGTCTGCATGCAGCCGGTTACCACTACAAGATAATTGTCTATCTGTGTATCTAACTAATAATTTGTGATAATTGATAATTATCACTTCTGCTATTGTTTCGAGAACGGCATGTTGCCAAAATATCAGCCCAACTATATCTCTATTCTCCTGGTTTTTCCCAGGAATAAGGCTAATACTATTGTCTTGTCTATAAGATAATTGTCGTCTGCTCGGCCTCCGCTGGTCGCACGCAGCTGCTGTTGCTATTGAGATTGCATCAAGCCCTGCTGTCGGCAGATGACCCCGTCAGTTCTGTTTGACCTTAACTGACCTTGCACGAAGCATTGCTGTTGGCTAACGCTCTGGGAATAAACGTTTCACCCTCGTTGACTTTTCATGAAGTCCTTCTGTTGCTCAATGATCTGGTCACAATGGTTTGACCTTCGCTGACCTTGAATGAAGTCCCGACGTCGGACAATGCTCGTGACACATGGTTGGCGTTCGCTGACCTTGCATGAAGTCCCGCTGCTGGATAATGGTCTGGCATCACAAGTTTGACCTTTGCTGACTTTAAATGAAGTCGCGTTGTTGGCTCTGGTAACACAAGTTTGACCTTTGCTGACCTTGTATGAAGTCCCGCTGTCGGCTGATGATCTCGTCACACAGCGCCCTCTGTCGGTCGTAGCGCAGGATCATGAGGTCCCGCCGCCGCAGCTCGTGGTCCTTGATCAGCTGATTGCTGCGGATTTCCATCTGCGGCAGAATATGACGCCTTGAGACCACAGCGGAGGCGATGGCGACGCAGGCGCTGATTTTAGAAGGAACACCGGCGTTAATCAAACATCAAAAAAGCGTGCGTAATGTAATATATCGCAATAATGGTGTCAGGAAAATTAAACTGTATAAGAAATGGAAATAATTGTTCACTCAAACTCCGTTATTCGACTCTAGAGACGACTGAATTTTTAAAATGTTTTTGTCGTGCCCGTTGCGATGCGGTGAAGGTCTCCAGACATTCCTCCTAAAACCAGAGACGGCCCGACGTTATCATCTGACGCCGGCGACGGTAACTGATCCTAGTACGGGACACCAGAGATGTGCTACTTCCTAAAGCGCACTACTGGCCTCGCACCAGAATTAGCGTATGTATATAAATATGTATGCGTATATACACCTGCAGCACCTGTAGCAGAGTCTATATACATATGTAGGTATATGTATATATATATATATATATATATATATATATATATATATATATATATATATATATATATATTATGCTTGGCTTTGGTTGTCACCGGCATAAGTTGCGGATGCCGACACGCGTACTACCGGCCAACGTGTCTTTTCGCCACCAAAGTCCCTGCATACCCAACCAAAGCAGCACACCAGGCACAGCGTGAAGATACCGTGCTATGAATGTTGCCTTCCTGGTGCACAGACACTCTGTTATTCACCGATGGCCATGGAAACCGATGGTCATTCGTTCAATGCGGCGTCAGGCGAGCGCCCGCCAGTTTTATGTCGTCACGAAGAACATTGCTGTCACGTGATCTCGCGTGACCGGCTATCTGTTGTTTTTGCTAAAGTACACCGCACGCGGTGTATTGGAGGCCGAACCAACTGACGTGTAATGAATGTATGTACATGTGAGCCTCTTCAGGCAAACCAGGAGTGACTGATCTTTCCAAATAATCAACTGGTAAATCTAACTGGCTCAGGCACGTTTCCGAAGCGTTTAGGTGATTTGTTGAAATCTTCGAGCGTAGAAATGCACGCGTTTGTGCCAGATCAATGGACATGCGATAAATTTTTCAGGAACATCCTGAAACAAGCATTTCTGGAATAGTGTCGTAAATACACCTTGGCTGCACGTAATCGCAGCCACACAGCCAAGACGAGGTCAATGTGACCGATGAAACCCAACGCCACGCCATCAATGAATATATCATCGTATTGAGTTGGGAATGGGGAAGCTCGAGACCCTCAACCTGTGCCTTGTATCTCCCAAACTCACAGGGGAGCATCCCAGACTTGTAGGAGGACTCTCGCACGACAGGTCCTCCTCCGTTAAGAAAGCACGCCCATGCGAAATTGTGAGCACCGCAAACAGTAAATACAATCAAAAGAAATGCAAATTTAACATGCAAAGCTCACTTTCCAATTGCTAACTACCCATCTTATCCTGCATGATACTTAAGTTGCCAAGTACAAATGGAAGCATGTGACTTATAGCCGACCTTTAAATTTGCTCGGGACGCGACACAGAATGCCTCAAATCCGGGGCGGCATCAGCATCTGTGGATACCACAATCAACTCAATCTCGGGCAGAGCCCCCAACTGTTCTCGCGAGACCACACCTCTGACACCAGCCCACATGCCCAGCCATTGCACAGCGTCGGGCGTCTGCCTGCTCACCAGTAGCGCTCCTCCTTACAACTGCGTCCGATACCTCAGTTGGTCAGAGCGCTCGGCTTCTGACAGACCCAGCTATGACAGCGCGGGTTCGAATCGCTCCAGGCACTCGCTATTTGCTCCTGGCAGGATGGTCTGCAGCCAGGGGCAGCAGCCGCGCTAAGGTTCAGGTGACGTCACAGGGCAGGATGGGCCGTGCCAAGCATCGCGGCACGGTAAGCATTCGCCACAAAGTTCTGCCGTTGACCTGGAATTTCACGATCGGATCGTGAAAATAGGACTCACGCTCAAAGACTGCTGAAGGTCGGCATGGGTCCCAGAAATTCATCCAATCAAAAGGGTTTTGATTAAATCGTTAACTTAAAACTGTCTAAAAGTAGCATTAGCTCGCCTGTCCGGCTGCGTTTATCGCCCATCGTCGGCTTGAGAACCAATGACACTGCCCCGGACCACGCTATCCCGTCTAATCAGTGGCGCAGCCAAGATTTCGCTCAAAAAGGACCAAACCAGATCGTAGGCGGTCCTTCCAGCCAGGAGGCTCGTCTTCGTCCATGGATGACCGCGTTTTTTTACTTGGAAGCTCTTCCGGTCGGGATGATGTTTTCAGGCCTCGGGGTGTTGTCCCGGCCTTGGCGCCGGGATGTTGTTTATTTTAGGAGCCCCACGGGATGCCACTCAGCCAAAAAACGGCAGAACCTTCAGCCACGAGGCTCTCCATGCCTCCAGGGGTATGGCCTCCAAATCCTCCTCCCCCCCGACCCCCTCTGCCTCAGGTACGCCACTAGCTGCGACACACAGCGTGGTGTCGACAAGCGAACTTGTGACGTCACGCCGTTTGGCGCCATCCAGTGGTCGGTTCAGTGGTTCCGTGGAAAAGTACCTGACTGGCGCCCGGCGCGTGGCGACCGCAGGTAACTAGACGTCCCGCAGCGCAAGCATCCAACTCGAAACAAGCTTACCCAGCTCACATGGGCTTGTGAAGGATGGCTTGCCTGATCGTCGAAAATCTGACCGACTCTACGACCTCAGGTCACTGAGGAACGTACATTTGGACGTCTCTGTCGGTAGGCCTCCACTCTTCAGGCCTTTGACCGCAGCGATGCTCATTTCACAGCGGCGAGGCGACGCTGGCTGGCAGGGAGCTGGTAGCTCTTCGACAGTTCATCGTTGAGGACCCAAGGCCCTGACTCCGTCAGTGTGCATCGAGAGCTCTGAGTTCCCGTTAGTGTGGACCTAGAGCTCTGAGTGTCCGTCAGTATGGACCTAAAGCTCTGACTGCCAGCCAGTGTGGACCTAGAGCTCTGAGTGTCCGCCAGCATGGACCTAAAGCTCTGACTGCCGGTCATTGTGGGTTTAGGGCTCTGACTGTCCGTCAGTATGGACCTAAAGTTCTGAGTGCCCGTCAGTGTGGACCAAGAGTTCTGAGTGCCCGTCAGTGTGGACCAAGAGCTCCGAGTGCCCGTCAGTGTGGACCAAGAGCGCTGACTGCCCGTCAAAGAGGACCTGGAACTCTGGCTTCCCGCCGTTGTGAACCTAGAGCTCTGGCAGTCCGTCAGTGCAGACCGATAGAGCACACTGTCCATCTTTCTGGACCTGGGCTCTGACTGCCCGTCGGTGTGGACCTTCAGTCCGGACTGTCGGACTGCGCTGACCTAGGACCCTGCCCTCCGTCGGTGCGAACACATGGACGCCCCTCAATGTATAACTAGAGCACTGCTTGTCTGCCATTGGGAGCCTAGTGCCCCGACTGCCCGTCATGCTGTGGGGACATAGCATCGCGGCGCTAGCCGTGCAAGCCTGAAAGGTCACAATTTCATTGATCATGCCGACAGTGTGCGAGGTCCCGGTCTTTTACAGCCCCTGGGATGGTCCTATACGCGGCTGCCGCTGGCGCTGGCGCTTCGGATAAGTGGAGGCTAGGGACAAGCAAAGCAGAAGCGAAATGCGAAACACCGAATCGCATAGGGCGTCCAGCGATGTGCATCAGAATGAACTATTTTTTTCACGCTTGATAATCGACGTGGGTGGGTGTTGGTGCCAGCGCAAAAATAAACCCTTCAATGGTTCTGTGTTTAATGCATGGAATCCTTGAGTGATCCCTAAAGTTCGTGTGGCGTTCATCAGCACACCGGCCATGTCTCGCGTTGAGGTTTTTCGCGTATACCTGCAGCGTGTGTTCAGTGGGCATGCCTCGTGAGTTCGATTCCTGCCAAGAGCGCCACATTGAACAGACGTTCAAACGCCGATTTGTGTTTGGTACGCGGCGACGGCGCCGAGTCCGAAGCTGAGCCCCTCACAGCATTACCACTCATCTATGTGTAGCAGACAGAGTCACTTAAGTGACGGCGTTCTTGGCCTCGAGTGGCCGCAGACTGTACCATTACCTCATCGGCCTCCCTCGCCCCAATTTAGGGGAAAACTTAACGCTGTCGGCTGTGACATGACGCTGAATAACGAGAATAGCTCATGGATTGCCTGATTACTGTGTTATCAAAAGGCGGGGTTTAATTTAGTCAGCAGGCTGGAATACTTGTGTGATACGCAGATTGGTGAGGTTTTGACGCATGAGGCTAAATCAAGCACGAATTCTGATTTCGATACTACGGGGAAATATCTCTCTTGCGACCGAATAAACGACTTGAGAACCCTCCTAAAATGATGAAGAATCTGTTGATCTTTTTTTGTACCGCGCCAGCCGTCGAGATCCAGTTAGCAGCAGCACAAACGCTGGTCAGTTCAGGTCGCTGAGCCATTACCTGCTGGTCAGTTAAGGTCGCTGAGCCATTACCTGCTGTCAGTTCAGGTCGCTGAGCCATTACCGGCTGGTGACACCATTAGCCCATTCACTTGACGCAGACTGGAATGACTGAGGTCATTACCATTCGTAAACCCTCGCGACGATTCCATTGACATTTATTCCGTGACCTGTGCAGTGCATGGCAGGTATAAAGCGTGCGACCTCGAGTGCTGTGACCGCGGTATTATTCGCCAGGCTGTGGGAAAATTCGTGATTGTGCATGGTGCATGGCCGCTGGTGCAACGTGATGCGCGGCTGCTGGCGCCGGGGCTGAATATCCTAGGCGGCCTGGCTCTCCTCAGACAACAATAGCAGTACATGTGTAATGCATAACAGCTTTGTGGCAGCCCCTACAGATTCTGGGCCCCTGTTCCGTACGGAAACATTCAGAGTCGTGATCGGTAGTGACGTAAAAACTAAAACATGCAACAGCGCTCTAAAGAACTGTGTGTGCACCCGTCCAGGTTCTGGGCCCCTGTTCCGTACGGAAACATTCAGCGTCGTGATCGGTAGTGACGTAAAAACTAAAGCATGCAA